CCCACTGGGGCACCTCCTTATCTCCCCCTTCTCCCATCCGTCCTTTGCATGGCATCTGGATGGGTCTACGTCAGTGGTCTCCAAACTACTTTTGTTCATGTACCCCAAATCTTGAATTCATGCCCCCAGCATATGCTTATGTATTTACTTATTTAAAGGATAGCCATGTGTAATTACAGAAATGTATTAAATACATTATAAGTCATATGCTGAAAATGGAATTAAAAGGATGTGATGAAGAATAAAAGCGACTTCAGGGGCACCTGGGTGGCTCAGTCGTTAAGCATCTGCCTTCGGCTCAGGCCATGATCCCAGGGTCCTGGGATCGAGCCCTGCATCAGGGTCCCCTCGCTGCTCAGCAGGAAGCCTGCTTCTCCCTCTCCCACTCCCCCTGCTTGTGTTCCCTCTCTTACTTTGTCTTTGTCAAATAAATAAATAAAATCTTAAAAAAAAAAAATTAATTAAAAAAGAAAAATAAAAGCAACTTCAAATTTATATTTTATGAGCAGTACAAAAAACTTGCTCTCACGAAAAAATCCTATTTTAAAGTCAACTTGATAGAGGCATGATTTGCACACAATAAAACGTACCCATCTTAAGTACAATTTAATAGTGTAGCCACCCTCACAATCAGGATATGGAACATTTCCATCGCCTCAAAAGTTCCCTGGTGATCCCAGACCCCAGCAACCACTGATTGGTTTTCTATCACTTTTGATTAGATTCACCGTTTCTGGCGTTTCACATAAATGGAGACTCTAGCATGTTCTCCTATGTGTCTGACCTCCTCCCCTCAGCATGGTGCATGTCGTTCATCTGTATCATGGTCCTTTCCTTTTCAGTGTGAATGGTATTCCACCAGGTGGAATATAATAATGTGCTTATCCATCCCCCTGCTGATGGACCTTTGTATTGTTTCCAGCGTGAGGCTGTTGTGATTACCCGCTATAAGCATTCATGAACAGTTATTATGTGGACATACGTTTTAAATACCTAGGACTAGGGGCGCCTGGGTGGCTCAGTCGGTTAAGCGTCTGCCTTTGGCTCAGGTCATGATCCCGGGGTCTGGGATCGAGCCCCGAGTCGGGCTCCCTGCTCAGAAGGGAGTCTGCTCCCTTTCCCTCAGCCCCTCTCCCTGTTCATGCTCGCTCTGTCTCTCTCTCATAAATAAATAAAGTCTTATAAATAAATACATACATACATACCTAGGACTAGAATTGCTGCGATCTAGGGTAGGCATGTGGTTAGCTATCTGATAAGAAACTACCAAGCTATTTTTTCAAAGTAGTTGTGGCATTTTATCCCCCAGCAAGAAAGGTGGGAGTTCCGGTTGCTCCATGTCCTCTCCATCAGTTGGTATTGTCAGTCAAATATATGCATTGCAAATGTTGTCTCCCCATACAAGGATAAGTTTTTATTTTAATAAAGCCCAAGTTATTATAATTATTTATGGTTTTTATGTTCTAAGAAATTATTGCCTAGGTGTTTTTTGGGTGAAGTTGTATAATTTTTATCTTTTACCTCTAGGCCTACAATACATTTTGAGTTAATTTTTATGTATGGTTTAAGATTAGGGTCAAGTTTCATTGAAAATTAATGGATGTTATGCGTGTGAGATTTTTCTAGACCTTCTTTATATATATGTATATATATGTGTGTATACGTGTGTGTGTGTGTATATATATATACAAGGATCATCTATTTTATTTCATTATTCTGTGTGTTGATCCTTATGTTAATGTCACACTGTCTTGGTTACTATAGCTTAATAGTCAGTCTTAAACAGATAATGTAAGTCCTTTATCTTTGACCTTCTTTTTTTTTAAAGATTTTATTTATTTATTTATTTATTTATTTGTCAGAGAGGGAGAGAGCACGCGTGAGTCCACAAGCAAGGGGAGCGGTAGGCAGAGGGAGAAGCAGGCTCCCCGCTGAGCAAGGAGCCTGATGTGGGGCTCTGTGACCTGAGCTGAAGGCAGATGCCACCTAGGCATCGCTGGTCGTCTTTTTCAGAATTGTTTTTGGCTAGTTGAATTTCAATATAAATTGTAGACTTAACTTGTCACTTTTTACAAATGTGTGTCCTAGAATTTTAATCAAGTTTCCTCTGTAGATAATCTGAGGTAAATTGACAATTTAACACTATAGAATCTTTCAATTGAAACATGGGGTATTTATTTAAGTCTTTTGTCATTTCCCTCAGCAATATTTTATAGTTTTCAACATGCAAGCCTGGCACATATTTTGTCCAGCATATCCCCAAGTAGGTCATGTTTTTGGATGCCATAGTAAATAGTGTTTTCTTTATAACTTTGTTTTCCATTTGTTGCTTTTATATACAAATGCAGTTAATTTTTATATAATAATACTGTATTTGTGGCCTTTTAAAACTCACTTATTAGTTCTCAAAAGTTTTTTGGTAGATTCCTTAGGATATTCTATCTTGAATGTTCTTGTGCTCTTGAAGAGATGGTGTACTTTGTAGATGTTGGATGGATTGTTCATAAATACCATTTAGGTCAAATTGTTTGATAGTGTTATTGAAGTTTTCTGTATCCACATTTGTTTTCAATCTGTAATGTCAAATATTTCTTTTTCTTGCTTTTTCTTGCCTTTTTTTTTTTTTTTTTTTGTACGGGCTGGGACCTCAGGTATGACAGTGAATATGAGTAGAGAACGCAGACGTCTTGCATTGGTCCCAACTTTAGGGAAAAGCATTCAGTCTTTCACCATTAAGTACGATGTTAGCTGTGGGGTTTTAATAGACATTCTTTATGAGGTTGAGAAAATGTCCTTCTATTCCTAGTTTGCCAAAAGTTTTTGTCATGAATAGGTACTGAATTCTGTCAGATTTTTTCCTGCATCTATTGAGATGATCATACAATTTTCACCTTTGTTCTCTTAATATGGTGAAATTATTTGATGGATTGTGTAGTGATAATCCAGCCTTGTGTTCCTAGGATAAATCTTAACTTGGGTATGATGTATTGTGCTTTTTAGAATTTGCTGGAATCAGTTTGCTAATATTTTATTAAGAACTTACACATTTAAGTTCATAAGGAATATAGGACAGTGGTTTTTTGCTTGTTTGGGGTTTCTTTCCCCCTTTTAATATCTTTATTGAGTTTTGGTATCAAGATAGTGCTGGTCTTATAAAATGAGTTGAGAAGTGCTGCCTCTTTCTCTGTTTGCTGAAAGATTTGGTGTAAGATATCTATAATATCAATATTGTATTATACCATATCTATTTTGGTGTGAGATAGCTATTATTCTTCTCTAAAACTTCCCTAGTTCACCAGTGAAGCCATCTGGGCTTGAGGTTTTCTTTGGTGCAAAATTTTTCACTATAAATTTAACTTCTTTAACATTTATAAGACTATCAAGATTTTTTATTTCTTCTTGGGTCAGTTTTGGTAATTTTTCAAGGAGTGATCCATTTCATGTAAATTTTTGTTTATTGGCATAATGTTGTTCATAATATTTTGTTATCTTTCCAAATATCTGTAGGATGTGTAGTGATAGTTCCTTTGTCATTCCCAATCTTAGAATTTATGAATTCTCTTTTTTCTCCTTGATCATTCTGGCTAGAGGCTTGTCAGTTTTAATGATTATTTTTTTAAGAACCAGCTTTTGCTTGCCTTTTTCTCTTTTTCCCCTCTGGTTTAAGTTTTATTACTCTCTGTTCTTATTATTTACTAACTTATATTACTTTGGTTTTTATTCACTCTTTTTTTTTTTTTTTCAAGTTTCTTAAAGTAGGGGTGGGGGAGTTATGCATTAATTTAGTCCATTGTGGTTGTAGGAAATGCATCATATGATTTCTGTTCCTTTAAATTTATCAAGACTTGTTTTATGGTCTAGTATATGTTCTATCCTAATGAGTGTCTGTGTGCACTTGAAGAAAATGCATATTCTGTAGTTGTTCAGTGAAGTGTTCTATAAATGACAGTCAGGTCAAGTTGGTTGATAGTGTTGTTCAGGTCTTTTGTATCCTTTTTATAGCTAGTTTCCTATTAGTGAGAATAGTTTTGAGATCTTTATTATTGTGGATTTTTTCCCCCTTTCAGTTCTTTCAGTTTTTGATGGATGTTTTTTGAAACTTTTGGGGGGGTTAATATATATCTTTAGTATTGTTACAGTTTGTCAGTGATTTGGTTCTTTTTTTTTAAGATTCTGTTTATTTATTTGAGAGTCAGAGACAGCACAAGTGGGAGTAGGGGAAAAGAGAAGGAGAGCAAGTAGCAGACTCCCCGCTGAGTGGGGGTCCCTATGCAGAGCTTGATCCCATGACCCTGAGATCACGACCTGAGCCACAGGCAGGCACTTAACTAACTGAGCCACCCAGGCACCTCAATGATTTGGTTCTTTTAAAGTTTATACAATGATTTTCTTTATCCTTAATAATATTTCATATCCTAAAGTTTCCTTTGTCTGATTTTAATTTAGGCACTTGAGCTGTCTTTTGATTAATGTTTTCATGTTATATCTTTTTCTATCCTTTTACTGTTAACCTATTTTTTGTTATTATATTTAAGTTGCATTTCTTGTAAATAGCTGTGCCTTCCTTTATTATCCAGTCTGACAGTCTTCTTTTTAAGTGGAATGTTAGATCTTTTACATTTAATGTAATTACGGATACGGTTGGGTTTAAGTCTTCCATCTTACTGTTTGTTTTCTACTTGTGCTGCCTGTTTTTGTTTTTTTCCCTGCTTCATTTGATTATTTTTTTATGATCTTATTTTACCTCCCCAATCGTCTTATTAGCTGTAACACTTTGTCTTATTTTTTCAGCAATTACTTAGGGTTTACGTCAGCATCTTTAATTTATTACACTATACCTTCAAATAATATTATACTACTTCACATACAATGTAAGAATCTTCCAATACACTTATTTTTTCTCCCTCCAGTCCTTTGTGTATCATTATTTGTTTTATTCCTAGATATGCTATAACCCTACAATACATTGTTACTATTTTTGCTTTTTTCTTTCACCTTAGAAAAATACGGACTGCTTCGCAAATTTGCATGTCATCCTTGTGCACAGCCATGCTATCCCTGTACTGGTCCAGTTTTAGTATATGTGCTGCTGAAGCAAGCACTATTTTTGCTTTTAAATAGTCAATGATCTTTTAAGGAAATTAAAATGAGAAAAATAGTATTTTATTTTTACCCATATATTTACCATTTCCAGTGTTGTTTATTCTTTCATGCACATCCAGGTTTCTATCTGGCACATTTTCCTTCAGTCTATAACATTTTCTTTAACATCTCTTACGGTGTAGGTATGCTGACTGAATTCTGCCAGCTTCCATTCATCTGAAGGAAAAAAAAAAACAACTCAACCTCATTTTTTGAAAGATATTTTTGTTGGGTATAAAACTGCATGTTGGCAATTTTGGGTTTTGTTTTTTCTCTCTCAGGACTGGCCTGCTTTGTTTCTGACAGGAGGTCTCTAGTTAGTCTTATTTTTCTTCCCCTGTACAGAATGAGCCTTCTTTTCTCTGGCTTTTAAGATTGCCTTTTTATTCTTCTTTTCAGCAATTTGATGGGGTTTATTGGTGTTCCGTGTTTATCCTGTTTGTAGTTTGTTGAGTTTCTTAGAGTTTTAGGTTTGTAGCCTTTACCAAATTTGGAATATTTCACCACTGTTTCTTCACATATACCCCTTGCCCCTCTCCAGGACAGGTATGTTAGATCGCCTCGTACCATTCCACAGGTTGCTGAGGTTTTAGTAACTTTTTCTGTTCAGACAGTTTCTATGATTGTGTCTTTGAATTCACTGATCTTTTTTCTTTTGCAGTGTCTAATCTGGTGTTAAGTCAGTTTAGGGAATTTTTTTTTTTTTCATTTCAGACATTGTATTTCAAGCTCTAGAATTCCATTTGATTCTTCTTTGTATCTTCCATTTCTCTCCTTGTTGTGTTCATATTTTTCTTTAAATCCTCGAGCAGGCTTATAATAGCTGTTTTTGTCTTTGTCAGCTAATCCCATTATCTCTTGTCATTTCTAGTTCTGTTTTTATTAACTTATCTCCCCCCACCCCCCTGATTATCCTGTTTCTTTGCATTTTTGCAGTAATTTTTAGCAGTTGAGACATTTTTGTAGAGGACATTGTCTTTGCCTATAAGTTTAGATGATGATGGGAATGTTTCCAAATACTACTTTTAAAATGCTGTCACTATAGCATGAGTTTCTTTCAAGAAGTGTTTTTTTTTCCCACTAAGTATTAAAATATCAAGTCTACTTCAAAGATGTAGACTGTGTATTTATTTTTTCAAAAATGTCTGCCAGGCAGCATATTACTGATAGCCATCTGCCATCAGAGAGCAGGGCAGCTAATTTGGAACATTTAACTTTTCAAAAGAAAATTGCGTAACTCATCTTGAAGCTTAAAACTCTTAAATATTTTGCCACTAAACCAACGAACCGTTTTTTGGTTCCAAGTACTGCAGTTTTCTTCTTGTGGCCCCACGGCTCACCTTTCCAGAGTCCTCTTCTCTGGTGGGTTTTCCCATCAAGAGTCGAGCTGAATACAAACTTGATTTAGACACTGTATTTTGATGAGACTGACACGGTACTTACCACACGGGCAGGGCACCTCAGATGTGGTATTTTCAGATCCAGAATTCAGTTTGATTCTTCTTTATGTCTTCTGTTTTCTCGCCTTAACCTTGTTCATATTCTTCTTCAGCTCCATAAGCACAGGCCTTGCTGACGATGGTCCCTTGTGGCTCTCCTCCCTTCACTGCGGCCTCACTGGCTTTCCTCTGTGCCTCGGATAAGCCACATTCATACCTGCCTCTGGGCCTTTGCACTGCTCTTCCTTCTGCCAAGAGGCTTCGGAGTTTCTTCTCTTTGCCACCCAGATCTGATTCTGAGTGCCACCTCTTCCAAGAGGCCCTCTCTGTCCATCTGCCTCCAGGGCCCATTCCCTGTTCCCACACCCTGTTTCCTCTCCTACTGCTGTTTGGCAGTACTTGAAAGTATTTTGTTTTGTTTAGGTTTGCTTTTTTTTT